ACGCCGCTCGGGTTCAGATCAGGCAGGCTGTTCCTCCCCACCACACCCTTCCAGGTCACGCTGTCATTGCCCACGTGAGCATTGAAGTCTCCCAGTAGGACAATGGAGTCCCCTTTCGGGGCACTTTCCAGCACCCGTCCCAAGGACTCCAAAAAGGGCGGGTAGTCTGAACTACTGTTCAGTGCATAGGCACCGACAACAGTCAGAACCCGATCCCCGACCCGGAGGCGCAGGGACGCAACCCTTTCGTCCACTGGGGTAAACTCCAACATACAGGCAGAGAGCCTGGGGGACACCAAAAAGCCCACTCCGGCCCTCCGCCTCTCACCCGGAGCAACTCCAGCAAAGAGGAGAGACCAGCCCCTCTCAAGGTCTTGGGGTCCGGAGCCGACGCTATGTGTTGAGGTGAGACCGACTATATCTAGCGGGTATCGCTCAACCTCTTCCACAAGCTCCCGCTCCTTCCCCGCCAGAGAGGTGACATTCCATGTTCCAAAAACCAGTTTCCGTAACCGAGGATCGGACTGCCAAGGCCCCCGCCTTAGTCTGCTGCCCAATCCACACTGCACCGGATCCCACTGACTCTTCCTGCAGGTGGTGAGCCCACTGGGAGACGAACCCATGTAGCCGTTTCGGGCTGGGCCCGGCCGGGCCCCATGGGCCAAGGCCCGGCCACCAGGCGCTCGCCCACGGGCCCCAACCCCAGGCCTGGCTCCAGGGTGGGGCCCCGGTGTCCCTCCGGGCCGGGTACTCCGGTTCTTGATATTTTTTATCATTAGGATCTTCTGAACTGTTCTTCATCTGGGCCTTCACCTGGGACCAATCTGCCTTGGGAGACCCTACCAGGGGCAAAATGCCCCCGACAACATAGCTCCTAGGGTCATTAGGGCTCTCAAACTCCTCCACCACGGTAAGGTGACGGTTCAAGGAGGAGAAGCTGCATATTATCTTATATAAAAGCAGTGAAACCAGAGTCTGTGTGGGGAAGCTGTAACATTTCTGGGCAGATCAGAGACATGAGGTAAAGTTCAAAAAGGCAAAGAGTTTTACTGGAAAGTCAGACAGTCATACACAGGAAATCAGTCTGAATCAAACCAACAGATCCAGGCAGGAGGTGGGCAACAATCCCAAAAACCATAGAGACTGAGACGAGGAGAAACACTGGAGAGTGATGAACAATCACAGTCTGGCAGGGAAACATGGGAACCAGGGGAATAACCAGGGTCAGGTGAGACATGTGAGGCAGGTGTGGACGATCAAGGGAGTGGGAGACACACAAGAGCAGGAACTGAAACAACAAGATATGTGACTACTTCAAAATAAAACAGAAAAGACAACAGGCAATGATTCATGTTGGTGATGTTACAGGAACCTCTGCAATTTTAAATTAAATCAATATTTTGTGTTATTTAATTTATAATTCAAGTAACCTGGTGTTTACTTCACCTGTTCTGTAAGTCACATCATTGGTTAAAACTGTTTTATTATGGAAAAAGACCACTGTATTTCAGAAATAGTCAATGATTAACTGACTATTGATTGATAATGTGTTTGACTAGTGATTAAAGCTGGGGTAGAAAATGTCAGAATTTGAGAATACAGCTGCCCTCTTGCAGATCTCTCCTCACGGGCAAATGCTTCATACACACAGCCACAGTGGTGAGCCTGTAGCTACTGTTAGCAGAAGGCTAAACTATTAGCAACATTCAACATAGCCACTCATCACCTGCTTTCATGGTGAATCTACCTACACAACCAACCACTACAACACATGTAGATATTACAGGAACATGGAGTCAGCAGCTGTTACCTCTTTGTCTGTGTTACAACACAACAGACTTGAGAATAAATTATTCATTTGTGAGTTTACTCACCAGTTTGGAGTTCTCCTCCAAATAATCCTGAGTGACAAAAAAACAGGTTTGTTAAAAATGGTGTAGAAGTGTCATTCTCAGCTGCTACAGAAGTAAAGCAGCCCATGCATGATGACACAAACTTAAACACAAGATTATTTTTCTTTGATGCTACTTGAGTTGTGTCTCCTGAATTATGTAGTGTGTTTTTGTGTTTCCCCCCAAATATAGCACCAAATGTGGCTTTTAATAGATATTTAATACATAAAAGTTCAAATTAAAGTTAATATACCTCATTTGTATATATACCTGATGGCTATTTAAAAAAAAAAAAAAAAAAAAAACTATTTAATATCTATCATCCATTTCAACTCCTCCAACCTGAACCACTGCACACGTCATCTTTTTCAACCCTCTGATATGAACCATACGAATGTCTCCTGAAATAGCGCCCCTACAGTATAGCAGGTCATTACTATAATAATGATCATTGCTTGGTTCATTTTAGGAAAAGGTTGTGATTTGTGTAGAGCAGCGCTCTCCTGTGTCACATTCATCCATCCATTACAACCTCCTCCTGACGTGGACTTTGTCTCTCTTTATACTATGGGTCAACTATGGGTCATAATGAGCTGCTGCACAGATGACCTATGGGCTCATTTTTTGCAGGACAGTCTCATTTATAAGTGTATATACCTTAACTATTAGCTATTGAATTTATTGACAGTGTTTGTTTCTTACATTACTGATGGCAACTGTTTCCTCCTGAATTTAGGGGTGGGAGTGATTTCATCAGCCGATTAATTAGCTATCAGTTTGTTCTTGCTCCAAACTATCATTATTATATTTGCCTTTGAAAATCCTCAATTGGTTGACCTGTAATTAAAAGCTAATTAAAACAGAAGCAGCTTCTTACTAAAATATGATCAAATATTCTTGTATTAAATATTAAATATTCCTAAAACAGGGTACATTAGAAATAAATACCTTCCTTTAATATATTTTAATAAATTAAGACCTGTGATCTGTGTCCGAGGAATATAAAAGCCACCAATTCAGAATTTAAAGTTGTTTCACTGTGATATAATAATTTTGTAACCTGTGTGTCATTTTTGCTGTTTTTGTGTCCACTAGAGCCACAATAAAACATTTTACAGTAACATTTGTTTATCTGACAGGGACATCAGTAAAGCTTCAGTGCAGTAGAGACCTTGGTGTAAGGACTAAGTGCTATATCTATGTGTGTATCTAAGTGAAGGAGATCAGGTAAAGAAGTGAACTCAAAGTGTAGACATGTTTTATTTTAAAGTAACTGAGCAGAGGCTGGTTCAGAGTGTTGTATGTGAATGTGCCAGATATTTTCAGTCCATGTGTAAATGGAGCTTTAGACTAAAATTACTGGCCCAGTAATTCAAGGTTGTGGATCTGGACTGTTACCATGAGGCTTTAAAGGATTTGTGCAGAGAGGAGTCTGAGGACCTCTTACCTACTTATTACTGAACGAGCAGACAATTTCCTCTGAGCTTCTGGGTCAGTTAACACGGAGCTGTGTTGGACTGCAGAGCAGAAAATAACACTTGAGACAGCTGAGTGAGAATTAGAGTGAATCCTGAAGCACCAACACAGCTGAGTGGAGCCGGAGCTGCAGCCCTGAAGCTCCACGTGCACAGCTCTCTTCCATCCTGTGACACAAGGACAGAGGGAGGCCGCACGCACGCACGCACGCACGCACGCACGCACGCACGCACGCACGCACGCACGCACGCACGCACGCACGCACGCACTCTCTTTGGACCAGGACCAGCCATGTTCTACATGTGCACTCACACACGCCAGAACTGAGGCTCTCCTCCACACAATAGAGTCTTTGAGAGGATTTGGACTGTTTTGAGTCTGAAATCCCCCAGACTGGACAGCAGGCCAGAGAGCACATATTTGTTTTCTATACTTGTGAGGAACTTCTTCGACATAATGCATTCCCTAGCTCCTACTCTTAAACTTCATCATCCCAACTTACATCTACCCAGACCCACACCCAGACCCTAGCCAAGACCTGATTCTAACAGTCGTTTGAGAAGCAGTGAGGCCCATCCAAAACATCCTCACAATGATTGTTTAAAACTAAACTTGGTCCTCAGAAAGAGAACGATACAAACACACATCTAGATCAAAACCTCATATCTGTCTGGACCCTGTGTGGTCCGTGTGTGAAACTGAGGACATGGTTAAAAACTGAGGAAACTCAAACTCAATCATGTGGCATTTGGCTGACAAATGATGGAATTTAATGTCGCAACTCACTCACTCACTCACTCACTCACAAAAGGCTTTATTGGCATGACATTTTCAATACACAGTTACAGTCATTCAATGGAATTAAATTACCAATGAAAAAAAATGTCAATTACAATATTAATATAATATAATATAATCAATCATTACTATAATTTATAGAATAAATTGATAATGAAAGAAAGAAGAGGAAAAAATTTTTTAAAATTATACACATATACCTGCTCATATATACCTACATGTATATACATATACATACATAAACATACATACAAGTAAAAGCAGTTATCAAATAAAGAAAGGAAAAGGAGACGGTGGTGATAAATACATTCCAATTATATATTGAAATAAAACAAGAAAAGAAAATGGAAAAGAAAACTTACATTGTCAAACAAAGGAGTTCATCAGAAAAGTGGCCCAGGACATAGAGCTGGTCATCCTCTGATCAGGAGGTCGGTGGTTCGATCCCCAGCACCTCCAGTCCACATGTCGAAGTGTCCTTGGGCAAGATACTGAACCCTCGATTACCTTATGAGTGTGTGTAGAAAGTGCTGTATGTGTGAATGTGGCTTCCATTGTAAAGTGCTTTATAAGTGCAGTTCATTCCATAGTTAAAGTCTCAGTTCACTGCTTGTCCCACAAAATAAAAGTCCTTCTTGGATTTTTTTATGGCATTGATAATATTCTATTCTTCATATCATGTTTAATATGTTTAATGTGTTGTTCTGTGGGTGTGAACGCTGCAGTTTTCTTTATTGTGAATCGATGTGATCTGTGTTTTCATGAGTGAGCATGTCTTGTAGCAGTGTTTGGATGAATCTGATGGAACCGGACTTGTTTCTGTCCTCTGTGCAGACGATGTATCAGCAGACAGCAGCGCTGAGTTCCCAGACAGAGCGTCCATGATGGAGGTGCGTCTGCAGGCTCAGGAGGATGAGATCACGCTGCTGAAGTCCTCATTGGCTGACGCTCTGCGCAGGCTCCGCCTCCACGATCAGCTCCTGCCCTTACTGAAACAGCAGCTCATTGCAGGTAGGTGATCTTCAGGCTCTACAGCCTGATGCATCACTGCATCACTTGTCAATAACTAATAATCACCTGTCGTCCCACCCAGTGAACCCGGCTGCAGCTCGGGTGCTGAATCAGGTCTGCTGCTCAGATGGTTGCACCAGCAGCAGGAAACTGTCCTCCAGCTCCGCCGTGGATGGGATCCGCCAGACTGCTCCCAGGTACTGGACCCACAGGAGCATGAAGGACCAGAAGCTTTATTTCACTTGATGTGTTTCATCATGTTGTTTGTTAGATGAGAGTCTCGCTGGTCCGTTCACAAACCTGTTGTGTTCGTGTGATGTCTGTGTAATCTGTAATCTGTGTGATCTCAACCTTTGAACCATCTCCAGCCAACTGTCAGACATTGTGACCAATGCCAATGGCCACATAGGAAGTCCAGTGTCCACAGAGCCCAGAGCCAGACCAGCGACACTGGACAGGTCGACCCAGACAGATCCCATCCTCCCAGGGCAGGATGCTGGGCAGAACCGGGTCCCTCTCCCCAGACGTGTCCAGAGCCTGCACCTGGAGGATGCTCTCCTTCCAGGCCAACCTGTCGAAGGGACCCGGGCCAAGCTCCACCGTGTCCCTGGTATGGAGGAGGAGGATGAAGAGCAGGAGGAAGATGAAGAAGGAGGAGCAGAGCAGGAGAAGGAGCTGAGTTGGACATCATCAGTGGAGGAGCCCATCCAGCCCACCACCATCAGAGGCCTCCAGAGGGAGGACTTCCAGGATGGAAGCTGCTCCCCTGAGGAGCAGGGCTCTGCTTCGCCATCAGTCAGAACCCCAGAACAGAACCCTAGCCCCCGCTGCGGGCCCCTGGCCCCCATCCAGGAAGTAGAGAAGACGCCCCTGTGCGTGCTCTCGCCTCACCGCTGCTCTGCATGATCCTCCTCTGTCTTGTGATTGGCTGCATGGCTTCTCTCTGACCAATCAACTCTGACTCGTGTGACTGCAAACCCCAGTTGTGCTGCAAAATCCCTCTTATGAAACTGCCTCAGGTCGCCAGGGTGTGTTAGAGAGGGAAACCCGAGGGTGGGGGATGGGGGGTGGGTGACTGATCTGTCATCATGTCCGCTCTAACCTCTGCGTGCTTTCTTTTCAATGTGTTTAGCGGGGGCCGAGGGAAGCATAATGGCGGCACTCGTCCACACTGAGTGACACGTCCAGGATTAGCTTCACAGCAAACAGATCTGAGCGTAGTGGAAAATGTGATGTTGAACACAGCATAATGTACAAAAGAAGAGGGGGTGGTGGGGTTAGAGTTACAGTGTGTACACATGAGACTGAACGACAGAGGTTGGCGGGTTTGTGTGATGTCACCTCTAAAGAACAGAAAGTGTTTGGGGGTAGTTCTGCTGAGGCTGGTGGTTCTGCCACTCAACTGGGTTTTGCACAAACACACAAACTGACTAAATGCAGTTGTTCCAACCCTTTAATCACTCCTTCATCATCGTTTTCCTCACTTAAATCAAGGATCTCTTGCATCCAGTGATTTGTTCTCCACTGTAAACGAGTCATTTCCCAACAGTGATCAGAAAGCATGTGTGTATTTGCTTGTGCATGCAGGTGTTCTTACTTCCTCGTTGTGGCTTGTAGACGAGGTTTCGCTGGTGATGAATAACGTGCTCAACTCTGTCTTGCCTGAGATTAAACCTGAGATACTAGGAGAGCTGTTCATTCTGCTATATTCAACACTGTATTTAAAGATTAGTGGTACAGAGATTTGGGGGGGGGGGGGGGCTGGTTGGCAGCTGTGTCACTTCCTGGATCTAAGGCCTGAGACGAAGGTACACGCCACATCTATTTTTAGTCCCATGACGTTTCCTCTGATGCTTCTGGTTTAGTGGCACGTCACAGGAAACAGGCCTGTCACCTGAAATCCTTAGAGACAGTAACAGGTTAATTATGGTTGACAGCTGTGTGTTTGTTTTTGTCTGAATTTAGTCTGAGCCTCAGCAGCAACACAGGAAATTAGGTTATTTCTGCCAAACCTACAGGTTTGCTATTTTAGGATCAGGATTGAGGAGCAATATTCAAACTGGAATTAGTTTTAAGTAAGAGGCTAAAGGGTAAACCCACTACATTATAACTGGTAATTTTTTTCATCTATTATTTATTTTAGTGATGATAACACTGTACTCACCAACTCACTTTGATAAGAAAAAGGTTGTAGATAAACCAAACTTACGTGGAAGAGAAACCAAACGACTGTTGTGTTGTAAACATCCATGACAGTTCCTGCCTCACATTTGACCCTGCGTGTTCACTGTAGTCGACCTGAGGGAGTGTTTTAGCGAAATGTCAGGTCTAGTTGAACCTCTGAATAAAGTGGTTCAGATCAATTGCTTACTACCTGTCTGATCATAATGTCTCTCAGAAGCTGTGGAGGGATGAGGGTCTGAAGCAGGCCTTTGAGTGGCTTATTTCCAAGGCCAAGAGTTAGCATAGCATTAGCCAACTACCTTATTGTGTGGTTACATGAGAACAAGCCCAGTTTCGGGAACAATCCACTGTGTGGGAGGCGGTGTAACCCTGGAGCTGGACACTGTTCAGGCTAACATTAGCAGCTCTCTGCCTGCGTAATGGATTTAGGGAAGTTTGCCTCACATGTTGGTTTGTCCTCAGAACCTTTTCTCACATAACAGTAAAGTGGGTGGCTCGGTGGAGCAGTGGTTTGCACTGTCACCTCACAGTAAGAAGGTTCTGGTTTGAACCGTCTGGAGCCTCTTTCTTTTCTTTATCAAACACATACTTCATAAACATTCACACAAAGATCCCTTCCCAAATGTTACAGGTTGTAATGTGAAAAATTTAAGGAGGGGTGGGCATGATTAAATAATTAAAGATTTAATTGAGGAAAAAGACACTGTCTTTGGTATTTTCTGCCGTAGGCATTTTTTAATATAAAAAATTAATAATGAATCGATAATTGATCGTTAATTTTCCCGATGATCAATCAAGGAAATTTCTTCAAGTGCCCATCCCTTGTACCTATCTGTCACCATATGGAGTTTCTAATCTTCTACCCCTTTATATATTAGATCATAGTCACTTCTATTTAAGATGGTTCCTTGTTAAAACCATTTGCCTGATGAAGGTCCAGCACAGAAACATTGCAAATAGTTTATTGTAAGCTAGACAGTGTGCTGGATTGTTTTAATTTGAGAAAGCTTGACAGGCCTAAGCAATGGTAACTAAACAAGACTAAGTCAAAAACTAGTACATGTCTGGACTGCCTTTGGTCAAATCCTGTTAAATCCATTTTAGATCTGCAACGTCTTCTGACAAAAGACTTTAATTAGAGGCAGGTCTTTATGTCTAACTCCCTCTGTTTGATATGTAGAGTTGGTCATAGTTGTTAGTATGAAGCCTTGTTACCGATCACTTCTCTCTCTCCCTCCCTCTCTCCTGCTCTCTCTGCTCAGTGTGTTTTATGTTTAGTTATTCCTCTGCCTCCTTTAGTAATAATGATACATGGAATCAAATTAGTTTATTTGCTGTAATAGAGGCAAGGCTCAGTGTATTGGAAGTGCTCATATTCTTCCCTGCAGTTCCCGAGCAGCCAGGCAACCAGAGTGGCTCGGTAGACTGCTGCTCAGCACTCATCTGATCAGTGATGGAAATATCATCAGTCAGTCAGTCACGCAGTCAGTGACATTTGCGATTATAGGGCTTGCCCCGCTGTTGTGGTCTGGCCAAAAAAAGGTATAAAGGGAGAGGCCTGTGGCTCAGAAGGTGGAGCACAAATCAAAATGTCGGTGGTTCGATTCCCAGCTCCTCCTGCCCCTGGTGTAACATCACTGTGTGAGTAGCGTTGTATGAATGTGAGTGTCTATAAGTTCAATCCACTGTAATAGGATCAGGCCTTAGTGGAGTCTTTGGTGAGTGCAGTGTTATTATTTCAAATGGTCAAAACCATGAAAATGAAATTCATGTTATAATAAAACAGAATTATATTTGGAACTTACAGGAGTGAAATCAATAAATCTGTTTCTGCATGTGTCAGGCTGCTAGTTTACAGATGTTTTTCATTCATAAATCATGGGATGATTGCCTCCATGTGTGTCGGATCTGGTGTCTGTGCATGGACACACACTGTGTGTTTACTGAAGTCGACTCTTCCTGTGGCGTTTCAGGGTTCGCAGGAACAGCGAGAAGCTGGGGAACCCGGAAAGGCAGAGGAAGCGTTTGGATAAGAAGGCGGCGTCCTCGGCCAACCTCCTCACCCGCTCCCCCAGCCTGGAGAAGTGAGTCCCACTGCCATCACTCACAGCTGTCACCACACACTCACACTGCTCACTTTTTCCTATGGCCGCCACAGCCTCATGTATCTCATCAAAGAACACTCACTGGAACGTTGATGGCCCGGATGAATAATAATAAAATTCCTTTCCCATGAAAACCTGACAGATACTCACCATCTGATTCTGGAGTCAGGGGCTGCTCGGTGTTCATGTGTGTGAAGTGGTTTCACATCTCGGTCTTACATGTTGTTCTCTGTCTTCACAGCCGAGCGAAGGAGCTGATTGCCAGTGCAGGTATGAACACTTCACACTCTGATGTCTCATCTCAGATTAAACTTGATTTCACTCATCACTAGTGTTAAATTAAAACCTCATTAAGGAGGATTAATTACAGGACTGTTGTGTTAGACTGACTTAATTTTAGTGCAACAATGTGTGAACAATTACAAAAACACATGGAAAGCATGGGTGGAGCAAAAAGGTCCACCACGACGTGTGGAAAAGAAAGAACACAAAAATACCTGAATTGCTGTAAATGGCAAGGTTCTTCCTAAACTTCCATTACTATTCATTCACTTCACCAGACTCTCCAGGTGTGAGGGTGAAATTTAGCTCCTGTATGGTCCTGTACTTACGTGAAAATCTTAGGAGCTGACCTGGAAACACTCCTGGGTTTACTACCCAGATAACGTTTTTCCTTTGAAAAGTGCTTACGAGAGGACAAAGTGACTGAGTGGTTAAGGCGATGGACTGCTAATCCATTGTGCTCTGCACGCGTGGGTTTGAATCCCATCCT